TTTATAAAAACTTACATTTTAAATTTCACGTATATTGCTCCCTTAATGACAATTATAATTTAATAATTTATTGTACTTTAGATCTGATAGCAATCCCAGATTTTGTGTCTGGTGCCATGGAGCATTGGGGTCTTGTAACATTTCGTGAAACTAGTGTTTTATATAAAGAAGGCATAAGTTCTAGTTCTAATCAAGAGCAAGTAGCACTGACTGTTGCTCATGAATTGGCTCATATGTGGTTTGGAAATCTTGGTATGTAAATACATACCTACAAATATGAGTACTTATAAAATATTTCAAATTTCAAGAAAAATACATCCAAATTGCAAATAATTATACTTAACTACATTTTTTCAGCTACTATGAAATGGTGGAATGACTTATGGCTTAACGAAGGATTTGCTTCTTACATGGAATTTAAAGCATTAGAAGTGGTCCACCCTGATTGGGATGTTGTATGTATCTACTTGTTTCTATTTTTTTTTTGAAAGCCATTATTCTTTGTTATTACCAATTATTTTATTAGGACACATTGTTTCTAATTCATAGTCTCCAATCAGTACAGTATCTAGATAATAAACTTAGTTCTCATGCTATAGTGCAAGATGTTTCTCATCCAGATCAAATAACCGAAATTTTTGATGTCATATCATATGATAAAGTAAGTTCATTTATACTCTATTTTTCGAGAGTTGACCCACTTCCGCGCATGCATACTGAGCCGCCGGAACGTTCAGACCCCCCAGGCAGCAGACCGGCGGTCTGTGATTGGTCGGCGGTGTTCGGCGACAGACGGCGCTTGTCGTAGTAGGCAGCTGCCGCCGCGACAATCGCCACCAGCGCTCAAACGAGCGGTGGCATGCGCGGCCGCGACCGGTTTTCGTCGGGCGAGTAGGTCAACTCTCGAAAAATAGAGTATAGTCCCAGTATAATATTATATGTTTTCTATAAAATATTAATTTGATTTCTTAGGGTTCTTCTGTAATACGAATGTTAGAAGGAATGTTGGGTGAAGAAGTATTCAGAGTAGGGGTAAGCGCATATTTAAAACGTTTTGCATTCAACAATGCTGAAACTGATGATTTATGGGCAGAATTAAAAACGGCAAATCAAAATACAGTTGATGTTAAAAAGGTGAAAAAATAAATTATTAGTTATAATATATTTTATAATATTTAACACATAAATATTTTTATTTAAATAAAAATAGGTTATGGATACATGGACACGTCAAGCAGGGTTCCCAGTAGTATCAGCTATACGGAATGGAACTAAACTTACTTTAAAGCAACAAAGATTTTTGTCCAACCCAAATACTAATTCATCGCCTGACTCATCTCCATATAATTACAAATGGGAAATACCAATCACATATACTACTTCGAACAATAATACTGTACATAAGTTTTGGTTAACCAAAGATGTAGATTCAAGTAAGTATTATGGACTGTTGAATATTTCAATTGATATCAATTAAAATATTTATTTAAGTTACGATTGACATACCTGATGCTGAATGGATAAAACTAAATCACAGACAAGTTGGATATTACATCATAAACTATTCAGAGAGTGATTGGGGTTTACTTAATAATTTATTAGAAAAAAATGTTGATGTAAGTTTTTTGTTAATATTTTTCAATCATTTTATTAATTTATAAATGTACAATTTTAAGGCATTAAGTGCGGCTGACCGTTCAAATCTTATTCATGATGCCTTTAGTTTGGCAAAAGCTAACTACTTACCATATGGCATTGCGTTAAACATGACAAAATATTTATCCAAGGAACATCATTATGTTCCTTGGGATGTGGCTTCTACTAACTTAAATACATTAAGGCACTATTTATTTCAACGTGCAGCACATAAAAATCTTGAAGTAAGTATATAGAAAAACTAATCAATGATATGATATTATATAATATATTAAGCTAAATTCATGAAATCAACAACACCAATGCTTTAACATAAAATCAGGAATTTGGCTAACATCTTTACGGTAACGAATATTTCTTATTTCATGAATTCATAATCTTGGCAACATATTATTGACATTATTTAATACTGCTGAAGTTTGTACATGAGTCCCTGAATTTATATTAATTAATGATAAAAAATGACCAGAAATATAAAACATACCGAAATCATCACTTTTGATAAACTTAAGTTAATAAAAAGAAGCATGTTTATGCAGCAAGAACAAAAGTAAAACTTCCATTTTTTTTTTTTTTTTAAATTTGTATTAGTAAAATTTTGATTACCAAGTAAAAAAAGCTTTAATATTAATTAAGGTTTACATACTACATTTTCTTTAAATAGTTAAATAATATTGAAATATAATTGTCATCATTTTGTTTAAACTTTTGACAAAATTCACTTAAATTTCATTACTAATTAGGTATTATATTTCGCTATTACAAAGATTATTATTTTGTATACCCACTAACGTTTTTAAAATATGAATCAAGTATAATGTTTAGCTATTAATATTATTTGTTATATAACTATTTTATTCACATTTTTCTATGGTTTAAAGATTAAAACAATCATAAATTTAATTTTTTGATACATCATTCACCAAATTTTGATTACTGTGCCTTAAGAAAATTTGCGATATCATGAATTTAACTATTTTATGGTTTGCTTGATATATGTATACATATAATTATTTTGTTTATTTAAGAAATATGTACAACATTTATTGGGAAGTATAAAAGAAGATTTTTGGAATGATTCAAGTGATAGAAACTTTTTACAACGTAAACTTCGAGGAGTTATTCTCAATTTAGGATGTTTATATGGTTTACCAAGCTATCAAACAAAAGTATATGAATTATTCAAACAATTTTTGGATGATAGAGTCCAACCACATCCAGATATTAGATACACAGTATATTACTATGGTTAGTTCAATTTTAAATGTTTAACTTATACATCATTATTTAATAATTAAATATTTATAATCAATTTTTCAGGAATGTCTAAGGGTAATGAGAGTGAGTGGAATAAACTGTGGGACTTATTTTTAAATGAGCAAGAACCTCAGGAAAAAATTAAACTTATGGTAGCATTAACTGCTTCAAAAGAAACATCAATATTAACTAGGTACATTTTGCACTTAATTTAATTTATTTATTTAGAATAGAATATATTTTATTGTTTTCTAGACTATTGCAAAATGCAAAAAATGAGAGTTATGTTCGTTCTCAAGATTATTTCATACTCATATCGCAGATAAGCCGAAATCCTGTTGGCACTCAATTGGTATGGGACTTTTTGAGGTATATAATATATTATAATTAAATCTTAAAATAATAGATATGGAAAAATTTTAAATTTAATATTGTGTTAACCTATGATATATTAGGGATGAATGGCAGTACTTGGTTGATCGTTTTTCTCTTAATGATCGAGGATTTGGAAAACTTATCCCTTCAGTTTGTTCTCAATTCAATACACATGAACGCCTCGAAGAAGTAAATAATATTTATTCTAATCCAAAATTTAATTCTTTAACAAAATAATTTTATTCAATAAGTCAATAGAAATTTTTTTTTCAATATTCTTAATATTCAATATATATGTATATTTTTTAGATGAAAGTATTTTTTGATAAATATCCAGAAGCTGGAGCTGGAAAAGCTGGCCGAAAGACTGCACTAGAAGTTGTATCTAATAACATCAAATGGTTAGAAAGTCATGAAGCTGTAATTAGTAATTGGTTAATTAATTCCATCTAATTTTTTAAAAATGATTGATTTTATTGTTGAAAATTAATAATTTTTATCTTTTTTTATTATTGTTTGAAATATCACCTTTTAATTATACAGGGTCTTATTAATTATTATTACAATGTTAACCTTTATATTGTTTGGCTAAATAACTAAAAAATTATGGTAAGCTATAATTGTTCCTAATTGTGTAATCACTGTGTACATTTAATAAAATAAATAATTCTTTTTATCAATTGAAATTTAAAAATTAGAAAATATGCTGTCATTATCAAAAGTTAATGTACTTGTTTTTAATTAAAAGTAAAATCATTATAAATGATTGTAGAATGAAACTAGTATACTTAATTTTTTGGTAAAAACAATTATTTATTTAACTTTAGGCGTAGAATTAAAAAAAAAGTGATTAGGAGTCAATGGTAATAACTAATAAGACAATATATCCTATGCATTTTTTTTTAGCGGTCATTTTCCACCATTTAATTTTCAAAAACACATTCTACTAATTTTTTGATATTTATGTGTACCTAATAAAATATATTTGGATTACATGTAATATTAATGAATGAAAAAGATTTAAATTTTATGTTTCTTTTAACAAAATGTAGCTTTTTTATACTGGAATATGTTAATTCTTATACATTTATAAAAGTTTATAATACTATTTTTTATTGTACCAATGAGATGATCAATCAGCAATATATATTTATTTATCAAAATACTATGAAATATATTCAATTTTTTTTTTCCTTCACATTATTTAAAAAAAAAAACTAAATTCCAATTATATTAATTTTTAGAAAAAAATTTGAAAGATATGATGGGAAAGTGGGAAGGAATTACTTTGCGATCAAAAACAAGATTAGAATCATAAATTGTAAATATTTTATTCGGCTGAAACATATTTCAATATTAGTTTTGATTGATATTTTAAAATCTTAATTTTAATCTTATTCCCAATTATAAAAACTAAAAATAAATTGTTGATTTGTAACTATTTATTATATACATTTTTGTTGAATAGGGTTATAATGTATTGAATTTGAAAAAAATTAAAATTCCAAAAAATAATTTCATACTATAAAATTTGATTATGCATTATCACTAACACTCAAATTCAAAAGGGGTAGCAAGAGAAATTTATCTTTGTCTAATCCAAAATGATGTAACACATATTTACTGATCCAATTTTTATGTTTATTTTAAAAATCAAAGAATTTAATGGATTATCATTTGTAACAAATTGTATAAGTAAAAATAATAATAACTTAATTTGTATTTTTAGAATCTAAATATAATGTTTTACAAACTTCTGAAAGATCAAGGTCAGACACTGTTGGTATACCTCCAGGACGGACTTCATTAATTGTTTCTCTAGCATATGAATCTGTTAATATACGAGGATCATTCATTGGTGGAACAAGCAGCATATTAACAGCTGGGTATAAAAGAGTAATGACTACAATGACACAACATACCCACACAGGTATGGTAATTGCCCAGTACTTTTGTGGTAAGTATGTTAGACCAATATATTCCAACCAATGACTTGGTATAAATGCCCATGCTAAATAAACAACAAATGCGGTCTTAGAAGCCAAGTATAAGGCAAACCCATAATTGGCTCGACTTTCTGTTGGAGATGGTGTATTTTGACGAGGAGTTTCAGAAGTGATCATAGTCAGCTGATGGAGATTTAATGTCAAATTTTTGTATTACTTCAGATAGAACTTTGAGTATATCTAATAAACTGTTAGAACTTGAACGCAAGGTATTAAGTTCTGCTGATTCAAGTGTCCTGAAAAAAATCAATGTTTTTAACTACCCATAATTAAAAGTAATAAGTTTATAATGCAAGGTGTATAAAACACCATAAACTTTTAAATTTTACTACTTACACATTTACAAATTTATCTGCAATATCACAAATTCTATTAGTAGAACTACCTGGCTCTCTTTCTACTCTAAGAGCATGATGGATAGCTCTAGCGTGACGGGCAGTTCCAGCATCAAATTTAATAGTTCTGAGATATTATTATTTAGGAAAAAAATATTTTTAACAGATAGGTAGGTAGTAACATTAACAACTAACATATTATACAATCAATTAAATTTAATATAAACATAACTATATTGGGTTTAACGACAGATTTATTAAAAAATATTTCTTTTTAGAGGATGTTCAAAGAAATAATTTTTCTCAACAAAACAATTTTGGCCAATGGTTTTATAATGCGGATCTACAACATTGTGTGGAGCATCTAGTATTTCATTTACTCTTCGACTGCACTGTTCGCGGACGCTGTTGCAAAATACATTGGCAAAAATTAATTCTGTAGGATATAGCTGTGCATTTGAATTAGAAAGTTTTTGTGATACCCTGTGTAACACAGCTGCCATGGCGAACAAATCCATAGCAATACTGTTAGCCCTATCGAGTATCATTTGGTAATAACAAGTATCGGGACCAAGATTGATAAACATATTCAGAACCCCAAATTGAAATCTGCTTAAGCAATACTCTAGGTCCAATGCCTGTTTCTTGAGTGACGGATGCAAGTGCTTCTCAATGTAATGATTCAATTTTGGTTTATCTTTCAATGATCGTTGGATTTTCATAATATGACTTAATGTATACTTGGGAAACATGAGTGGATTTCTTAATTGTTTCACATCATCTGCCATAAACTGTCCAGCATACTGAATGCCAAGCAGGGAACCAACTATCGGTAGTAAATTTGATCTACCTTCAAATAGTAATGAGTTTTCAATATATTTAAACGACTTCTTGGATAGACCCAAGTCGTTCAACAAATTTAAGCAACTATGTGTTGTTTCACTTACAAACAAACGAGCGAGAATTGGCTCATAGTCACTTTTAGGGTTGTAGGTATCTAATATCAGACTAGTGAATTCCAAAACACAGTCCATAGTGTACAAATGGCTATTTAACTTTCCTAGTTTAATCATACTCGATCGATCATGGGTCTGGAAATGTTGAGAGGATTTTTGAACAATATTTTTTATCTCACCTAATGTAGCAGAAGAAGATTCCAATAAATCACCATTGAAGAACATTGTAAAATAGTTTAGGCCTTCGTTTTCAGATCCTAATATACAATCAGCTTCAACATTGTTGAATGTCACATTATAGTGATTTCCTTCAGTAGTAATTTTAATGCCACTGTTTTGTGACTTCTTAACCAAAAAGGCTGTGAAAAAGTTTTGTTCGCTCTCTGGACGATTGCATTCATCCATGGTTTTAGCAAGTACTAAAAACATATTGGCTCGTTTTCCATTCATAACCCACTGTTTAGAGCCATTAATTATCCATTTTCCATTTTTTTGGGAGGCTGTAGTCTCATTGCTTTGAATATCGTATCCGTGTTTGCTTTCATAAATACAGTACGATGCAATACATTCACCAGAAGCCAGTAGAGGTAAATAGTTCCTCTTTTGTTCATCTGTCCCGGTCGTACTTATGCACTTCACGACGCTACCGTGAGCAATGCCCTCTCTTAAGTCAGCGAAATCAATTCGCTTATAAGCTTCCGAAAGCGAAGCTGAAGACAGTTCTAAACCTCCAAATTCTTTGGGCACGCAGACGCCGTAGAGTTTGTCTAATTTCGGTAAGTCGACTTCTTTGGTACTTCGGGCAAATGCTGTTTTGACAAAATTTCCTACAAACAAACTTTTTGCAAAAGACGGAATTTTTTGATCGACAGCATTCCCCTGAGGATGGGACTTATTCGAGACAGCAGCGGCAGCTTGCGAGTAATTTCGACACACAGAGCTAATCTTAAATCTATACAATGACATGATTAATATAATTTAATGTAACTTAATATACTACTGAGTTAAGGATACACGGAATGGAGTTTTCCTTCAACTGGAGTTTCAGAAGACATCTCAAATTAGACACAATCGTAAGTAATCCGAAATTTTGTCAATTCTGAACACTGAAATCATTTTTTAATTCGGTTTTGTAAGGTTATATAAGTATTTTCCCCGACGGACGAGAGGTGACAACACGAATTTAGATAACATTATCAATTGTACAGATAATATTATTATCTATAACCACAGAACAATAACCATGATGGTAATTGGTTAAGAAGTCCGGGGACAAAAAGTCCTATTCGAAAAAAAGTAAAAAATTACAAACTACCTATTCAATTCTAATAATTGAAATGTATAAGTTTTTAATTATATCGTATTGTAAATTTGTAAACCATAATTGATATTTGATTATTATTCCTTCTAACTAGAACTTAAAATATTATTCCGTGGACAAATTAAAAATATTAAAAAAGTCAAAATACAAAGTGCGAAAATAAAAATGGAAATCCACTAGGTTATTGGTAGGTAAGTACCTCAGTCATCAGTCATCAATCCTAAGATATATCCACGGATTAAATACATCATACATCTTAATTCGTGGGTACCTATAACATAATCGTTTATCAATCAAAGGGTATCGCTGCCTATACATAGGTAGGCTATTAGGCTGTACTTAATAAATATCATTACCAAAATATTATAATATTTATTAATCACGTAAAATTATAAAAAAAAATATTTTAATTTTGTGAATTTATTGAATAGTTTATATTTTTAGACCTAACCAGCTTGTCCAGCTTGTCCAACTTAAACAATGTTTGGTTGGACTTTGTGTCTGACAGTAAAACAATTTTTTTTTAGGAATTCTCTTGTTTATAATTTAATTTAATATAATATACATTTAACATGTGAGTGCGTAACTTTTGTTTATGATCAATCGTCACTAGGACCTACAACAAAATTACCAACTAGATTCACTTTCCTACCAGAAAATATGTTGAAATATAAAACCAAATCATTTATTTTACTGCCTTAAAAAGAGATGACAGTCACAATATTATTTTTTTTAAAAACGCACGGCATTACAAAATCAATACATTTATAGCTTCGCTCAGAATATAAAATATTTAAACAAATTTTATAAAATTATTTTCTAATATATTAATTCTACGTTTGTAGAAAGAATGACAACATATATTATACGACTGTAACGCGTCCTTTTCTGAATAATATTACTACATTACTGGACACTGCGATACATTTCCGATTGGGATGTTGACGGATTAAAATTAAACATAAATTAATTCATCTATAACTACTTCATGCAGCCAAAATTATATTCGAACTCGTGATACTAGTGTACGACAACAAACAACGTAGACAAGTTAAATATTATCAAATAATATATGCAATCCAACTTCCAAGTACATCAGCCCAGAGTACGAGAATCGGCCCACCAGAAACTTTCTCGGTATCCCGGTGGGCCAATCCACCGCTGGGTATATGGACATGTAATAAGTCAATAGCCAAGTTATATGATAGATTATTATGTTTTTATTTGTACGTATTAATTAGATATATATATTAAGTATAATATACCTATACTAACAATAATATTTTATAATATAAAACACTTAATAATTGTTATGTATGAACTATTTTTCGTTTGAAAAGTACCTAACCTACTTAACAATTTACAGGAACTTTAGTGATTGTTATAAGAAAAAAAGTTTGTATTGCCAAAGAACAGTCCTTAAATAGTATTAAAAATCTAAGTACCTATTTTAAAATATTCAAAGTATGCTTAAAAATTCCGTAATTCATCATTTGAATAAATCCATCATAAAGGGAAAAATTAATGTGGGCAAACTTGGTGAAGTTCACCAAGTGAATCATCCTGTATATAGTGTAGGTATCATAAAGCAATTATAAACAAATAAACAACAATTTATAATACAAAATACTTAATTTGATAAAAATGTAGGTTTATAAGTATTATGTAACAATAAAAATAATCAATTATTATTTTTGTAACAAAAAAATATTAGGTATTATTTTAGTGATTTAATTTTTGAAATTGACAACAAACATTATCAAACATAATATTATATTATGAATGGGTGTACCACGTGTCTATGTACTTCTAAATTAATACCAGGCACGTGACCCAATAAATCACAACAATATATATTATGTTTGTATCTATATGTGCATTGTACATTTCAAATATTACACATTAAACAGTCTGAATTCTTAAAAAATATATAACTGTGAGGTTAAAGATGGTAATACATTTTTTAATGATTTTAAAACGATATATTTTGAAATATTATTTTACGCACGTTTGAATCTATACATTGTAATGTGGTTCTAAAAAGTTCTCGAATTTCTAAAGTGGCTCTCCAAAAATAGTAATTGGTGATCTCTGATATACAATATCATTGGAACTTATCAATTTTACCTTGGCCTTGACCTTAACCTATGAATAAGATTAAATAAAATATGTATTGGAAATAAGTTTCAGTTTCTTGAAATACATTAGTAAGTTAAGCTATAGTGTCTCACTCAGTATTCACTATTATGTTCTCTGTAGGCTGATAATCATTATTTTTAAAAATCATATAACAGTATTTGGTCATTTTTGTTTTATATTAAGTATTGGCTGAAATACTTTACCCTTACAACACGAATGTGGCGATTCACAAAGTACGTTATTTAACAAAAAATTTTAATTTATTGCATTTATATATATTTATTTTGCTCAGAAACAATAAACTCAAGTATGTCTATAAATTATAATCTTGAATATTGATCTGGTTAGATCTAAATGATTAGATATGGATATGACAAAGTATATGTGAGTAGACGATCTTTAAAGTAAATTTGGACAATAATCGTGATTAGGTACCTAATACTGCGGTGCCAATAACACTAACAATAAATTTGTATTATAAACAGAAATTATTTATTTATTTATTTATTGAATAAAATTTTAACTACAACAATATTACTCAAAAACAAATTTATCGTTAAAACTAAAGGGAGTTGGTTATTACCTCCAAAAAAATGGCTCTGTGGAGATGAAAGTTCTATTAACTTATATATTTTCATTATAAGCAATGTGTACTTGTTTACAATTCATTTACAATGGTCTCAATAAACTATTGGAATTATAAAAGTCTTGATTAATTTTAAATTGAACGCGGAGAATGGAGATTTATAAAAACATAATATTGTCCTGATTGTGCAAATGTTGTTTTTAATTTAGAAATATTTATATTAACATTTTTTTTTTAATGTTGTGTTATGACTGAATATATAGTGAAGTAATAGTATTTTTATAGTACCTATAGTATAGTTTTGCCGTTTGGTATATATCATATATACATTATATATTATAATATTGTATACATATATAATATATGTATACAATATTATAATGTATCAATATAATGTCATATATGTATAATATTGATGAGCGTATAACAATATAAATTTTCCTTGCTCTGTAAAATAACATATAAATAAACTAAAATATGTCACCATGTACAGAAATTTAAATAAATTGTAAACCAATTGGTTATATAGATTAATCTATATTCATATTAAAGTATATAATCAACATTTTTTTATAACATTTATTATTACTAATTAGCAGGTATAATTAAAACGTAAACAATTTAGTATAGTTTATGATTTTATAGACTTACCAATCTATGTTCACAGGTAGGTTTACTGTTCACGTCAAATATTAATATATTATATACGTCATCTTGAAAAGCAATAATATAGCAAGTTTTATCTGATCAAATATGGGACCGGTAAAAAAATGGGTGTTTGTACTTGTTTTGGAGGCCGTCGCAGTCATAACAGTCATAACAACGGAATTGATAAGGACTCCAGAAGACGAAAAGCTTACGGAAATAACATCAGCTGGTCTTACAATGGGCCCCGCCAATTTGGTGAGTGATTGAAAAAATAAAATGTCTTATACAGAAATACGAGTGCTATATTATGGACTGTGGAGATGTGAAAACAAACGGTGATTATAATTATCGGGATAGTACACGGTATAATAAATTATCTACAACATTTGTTTATTAGGATCGCCATAAAGGGATGGTCACCAAAATAAAAGCTAGTTAATATAATTATATTTATAATACTTATATTACCCACTCATTTTTTAATTTTTGTAAATTTTAATTTGTGTAGGTAATTGTAATTTATATGTGACATTGTTATAGGAAATATCGAGGGCTTTTTTAAAATTATCAAAGTTTTCATACAGTTTAAGTGCTCGTTTTCGAATGTTGTAATCATCCAGATCTAATTTTTAAGCGGTGTTATGAATGCATTATATTACAATTTACAATAATGTGTTTCTTTAATTTTTTTTGTATATCTACTTTATCCGAGTTTAAACTTTGAGAATAATTTCTGATAGGAAATTGAATATAATTAGATTGTATTTTAGATTCTGAGCGGAGTGAAGAAGCTATAATGGGTTTTACAATGGTGTTGATTAATTAATTTTTTTTATCCTGTATACAAAATGTCTTACATAAGGAGGGCTTCAATTTCAACATATAGTATTTTATCTTTTAGAAAATTGGGTCAAGATAGTACTTAAGAAAGGTAATTTTTCGATTTTCTCAATAGTTATTTAATGCCACGGGAATAAGAACTAACGACAAATTTTGAAAAACCGCTAAAAAAGGGATTTTAATTTCTAATAATTTGTTTATCGGTTATCACCATATAAACGAATAAAAAATTTTCGAATTTAAAAATACTAATTAAACTTACAGGCTATAATATATAATAACAATATAAAATATTTACACTGACAAACAGTCTCCGCTCAGAATCGTTTTTCGTACACAATGATATTATATCACTGAATTCAAATGTGATACAATCCATTATACAGTAACCCACTTGTAACCTTCTGTACAGCATAGCAACCAGGGACTGGAACATCACCGAAAAGAACCGGTTTTGGAACTGAAACCTTACCGAAACCCTTATTTAAATTAATTCTTATAACGGAATCTCACCGAAACCTTTATTTATATTACTTTAAAAACCGGCACCTATAATTTTACTTGACAATTTTTTTTTGTATAAGTAAAAAACCAAATCAGGTAACAATTTTTTTAATTTTTAAGAACCGAAAAGAAACCGAAACCTAAATGTTAGTTTTTCTGAGAACCGGAACCGAAATTTTAGTATTTCTGGCCTTCTGGGAACCGAATAGGAACTCAAACCGAAATTTTAGTTTTACTGCCTACTGGGAACCGAATAGGAACCAGAACCGTATAAATCATCAAGTTTCCAGTCCCTGATAGCGACATCCATTTAACAGCTTTTTAATAGATAAAAATTGTGTTGTCAGAACTTTTTTTAATAATCAGGGAAAACAAAAAAAAAATTTAGGAAAACCCGAAATGTTTACTCAAAACCAGTTTTCGACAAACATTTTTTTTTTGGTGTAACTCAACTTTAAATTTTCACCAATTTTTTATTTTATTATTTTATATACATAATTTTAATTTGCAAAGTATTTAGACTATTTGTAGACCTTTTTAAATTTGAAATATTTTTTAGTTTTTTTTCTATAAATACGAGCTATACCTATTGCGGAAAAAAATGTTTTGATTGTCAAACACATTAACAATTTGACACAAGATTTCTATACATTGTTTTAATACCAGTTAAAAATATCAAAGATACATAGGGAATGGATTTTAATAATTAAAAATTTATAAAATATTGAATTTTTACAGCTAAGGATTGAAAATTTAGAACAAGGTTTTTCATAAGTAGTTTATTCTGTAATCAATAAGAAGTATACAAACACGGTTTTTTGTATAGATGTTTGAAGTTCAAAATTAGACGAAATTAGATATTTAAACGAAGAAAAACAATTTTAGTTATTTTATGGATACTTGACAGGTACTTGACAGTTTTAAGTATATTATTATATATTTTATACACATAATGTCATAATAGCGTTTTTAAATAATTTTTTTTGGAACAATTTGATACAACCTACATCAGGGGTCAATTAATATCATTAGAGGGTTACATTGGGAATTTTGAAAATTTTAGGGGACCATCAAAGTCCAAAGCAAATATTCTTAAATTTCCTACATTAAAATAAAGTACAAGTTTATATTAATTATAATATAAATAGAAAACTGGGTTAAAATTATTTTGTAAAATAGCAAGTCTTGCTCTCAAAGTCTCAACTAACTGCAGGCAATTTGCTGTATGATTCGTGCACTTAATATTTTATATGTAGGTTCTAAATTATTCATGTACAAAGTTCACTACTTACTGGAAATTCCTGGGCAAGTAATTTATGTGAAGTTTGGTATAATGACGTTTAATATTAAAAACTTTAAAAATAGCTACTGGCTGGTGGCAAATCAAACACACTGGTAAGGCCCCTGAGCCTACTTTTGTCCTTTATTATATGTTTTACTTTTTTCAATGTCTGCAGGCCGGATAAAATTTGTCCGAGGGCCGTAGCGGCTAGCGCGTAGTGACTGCTGACCTACTGTATTACTAATATCTAACCGTAAAATAAATTACCTACGTTGATAGTAAAAATATCATTAAATATATTTATTCAACGGTCTTCACTAAGAATCCTTACGATCCCTACAATGATTTTATCTATCATTGAATTCAAATTTAACACATCCATTACACTGCCCCTTCCTGACACCTACTGTACAGCAGAGGCGAAGAGCGTAACCTACTGGCCTACCATTTTTTATGTTAAAAATTATAATATAATATTAGCTATGCTATCTGTAAAAATACATTAATTATATATGAGTTATGTAAATCTATGATGCCAAAAAAGCAAATAGTAATTGAGACAATATCAAGATTTTTTCAAATAACTTCTTAAAAATCTTTAAAATATGTTTTTTAAAACTCTTTCTTATCTATGGCTTCAGAGAATCCCCTATTCCAAGTTCATAAATTTTGTTGTTTTTGAGAAATAGAGGCGAGTAAGTGATATTTGGCTTTTATGTATAAATTATAGATTAAAAATGTGTTTGAAATGTTAAATTTAAATTAATATACTGTATATTAAAAAAGTTAAAAAAACAGAGCTTTATGGTAATAAGGGGATCAAAGCCTTCTACCTGACGTTTATCTAAAAAAATATCAATCGCCCTCCCCCTCCCACCAAAAACAAAATCATAACCACACCCCTGGTGAGATACACTCCATCCGTAGAATCCCACTATTTCGTTCGTAATTCCCCTATGATATTAATAAAATTGTTAATCAATTTTAAACTTTTCAGTGTTCAAGCGCTGTGATTTTTATATAGTTGCTTTATTAATACAATTACTGAGGTAGGTAAGGTGTAAAAATTAATACGTCACGGTACTTTTTTATTTTCACTTCGGATGATGCGCGTAAACTCAATATCGTAGTAAATTTGAATTTTTAACATTTATTTATAAATAAATACATATCCACATAGAATTATAAATTTTTATTATTTTATAATTTATAGTATTATATTTTATACTTGAGCTTCTATAAACTGTTAAATTTAAAAAAAAATGGTTATTAACCAAGTTATAATTTTAAGAATCATAATAAAACTGTTAACCAATTTATTATCTTAAGCCATGTAGTTAATTTATTGTTTAGAGTATAATGACAGCTAAACCTTGGGAATCTACACATCGCTTATCCCCGTACATCCGCCCTCAGCAATACTTTATTAATCTGTACCCAAATCTTGAACAAGGTTCATTTGTTGGTTCAGTTGAAATAACAATAATATTGGATACTGCACAAAGTTATATTAAGCTGCATTCAAAAGGATTGAATATCAAAGAAACTAAACTCAATTCTAGTTCAGTAACAGCGTTTTCCTATCCAGAACACGAATTTTGGGTTGTGGTACCTAATGAAGAACTAAGTGCTGGGGAATATAAATTACAACTTTCATTTGAAGGTAGTTTATTAAACAAAATTGTTGGATTTTATCGAAGTGTTTACAATGATTCAAAGAGCCACGAACAACATTATATTGCTACATCAAAGTTTGAACCAACATATGCGAGGTTAGCGTTCCCATGTTTCGATGAGCCTCAGCTGAAATCAAAATTTAAAATTAGTTTAACTCGACCATCTGGTAATAACTACATAGCATTATCCAACATGAACCAAGAGGTGAATATAAACATTTTTTTTAATTCAAATTTTACAATACTAAATAATACATTTTGTTTTAGTCTGAAGAGCTCAATGTGCCTATAAATGGATTGACTACAGTCCATTTTGCTAACACTGTCCCAATGTCCACGTATCTTGTTTGTTTTATTGTATGCGATTTTCAATCACTTGAACCTGTTAAAACAGATCAAGGATTTCCGTTAACGGTTTATGCCAGAAGTGGTCAATCCGAAAATATGAAATATGCTCAACATGTAGGTCTCAAGGCAATTAATTATTTCGTCAATTATTTTGGTATTCAGTACCCATTACCAAAATTGGGTACGTATTTAAGTTCAAATTATATTTCTCATGTAATAATTATAATTTATTATTTATTCCTATGGAAGCCTACCTACTGAATTTCATGAAAAGGGCGTTGACTGTTTAATCATAATAATTAAATAATTAAGACCTTTATTCAACTGTGTAGATCTGATACCAATCCCGGACTTTGTTTCTGGAGCAATGGAACATTGGGGTCTTGTGACATTTCGTGAATCAAGTGTTTTGTATAATGAACTCGTTGGTTCTAGTGCAGACAAAGAGGAAGTGGCTTTGACCGTGGCTCATGAATTGGCACATATGTGGTTTGGAAATCTTGGTATATAAATAGAAACATTTAAAATTTTAAAATTTAACAATAAATATCTTTCAATCACTTATCACGTATAATTTAATATGTTTATTAAGTACCTACCTTTATATTATTTATTTTGTTCAATAATATAAACTAAAACAATAAATTATACACCTTATTACTTTTTGTTAGTGACTATGAAATGGTGGAATGACTTATGGCTAAAAGAAGGGTTTGCTTCTTATTTGGAATCAAAAGCTATACAAGTTGTCCATCCTGACTGGGATGAAGTAAGTAGTCCTATTGATCAATGGTAAACTACCTTTTTAGATCCAGGACGCACCTATTAATTTATTTATTTGATATAACAGTCTTACGTATAATATTATAATATTTCACTGTTTTAATTTGTATTAAATTTTTACTAGATATTACGACCCCCCTTTTAAAATGTCGCAACCCCCAGGTTGAGTACCACTTTTTATGGACTAGTGCATTAGTGCATTAGTGCTATACATATATGTTTTATATTCGTAAGTTATAATTCATTGTTATTTTGAATTATTTTTTTAGGACACAATATTTCTAATTAATAGTCTCCAATTCGTACAATATCGAGATAGTAAACTTAGTTCTCATGCTATAGTGCAAGATGTATCTCATCCGAATCAAATAAATGAAATGTTTGATTTCATATCATATGATAAAGTAAGTTTGATTAGTCCCAATGTATTGTATTTTTTATAAAAAAATTAATTTGATTTCTAAGGGTTCTTCTGTAATACGAATGTTAGAAGGAATGTTGGGTGAAGAAGTATTCAGAATTGGTGTGAACACATATTTAAAACGTTTTGCATTTAACAATGCTGATACTGATGATTTATGGGCAGAAATACAAACAGCGACTCAATATACAGTTGATGTTAAAAAGGTGAAAAAATATATTATTAGTTATTATATATAACATATAAATATTTGTATTTAAATAAAAATAGGTTATGGATACATGGACACGTCAAGCAGGGTTCCCAGTAGTATCAGCTATACGGAATGGAACTAAACTTACTTTGAAGCAACAAAGATTTGTGTCTGACCCAAATAATAATTCGTCAAATGACCCATCTCCATATAATTACATATGGGAAATACCAATTACATATACCACTTCAAACAATAATACTGTACATAAGTTTTGGTTAACCAAAGACGTGGATTCAAGTAAGTATTATGGACTGTTGAATATTTCAATTGATATTAATTAAAATATTTATTTAAGTTACGATTGACATACCTGATGCTGAATGGATAAAACTAAATCACAGACAAGTTGGATATTACATCATAAACTATTCTGAGAGTGATTGGTGTTTACTTAATAATTTATTAGAAAGAAATGTTGATGTAAGTTTTTGATTAATATTTTTCAATAATTGTATTAATTTATAAATGTACAATTTTAAGGCATTAAGTGCGGCTGACCGTTCAAATCTTATTCACGATGCCTTTAGTTTGGCAAAAGCTAATTACTTACCATATGGCATTGCGTTAAACATGACAAAATATTTATCCAAGGAACATCATTATGTACCTTGGGATGTTGCTGCTTCTAACTTAAAGAAATTAAGGCAACATTTATATGAACGCCCGGCACATAAAAACCTCGAAGTAAGAATATTAAAAAACTAATAATTAAAATTGTAGGTATTACAAAATATTATTATTTACATAGAATTTTTTTTATAAGCCAAATTCTTGAAATTCGAGAAATTAACACGTCATGGCCGGTGAGATCAGAAATTTGGCTAACACAGTGAAATTGTGATACACTGAAGTTATAGGTCAAAGTTTAATGCCAATTCCATAAATTAATGACTTTGGTAACACATTATTGAATAGCGACAATGGAATTACAGTTTTAAACATAATAGTGAATTAATAATAAATTAAAAATTAATAATTATTAAAATACTTATTACAGAAATGTTTTACACCAAAGTCATTACTTTTTATACATTTTAATTATTACATTTGGAAAATGTTTTAATTATCTTGTGAGGTGATAAAAAATAAATATTAATTAATTTTTCTTTTTGTCTTTATAACATTTTGGTTTTCAAGTCAAAAAACTTAATAATTTAATAAACATAGTCCATCATACATTTTTTTGGATCACTAAAAATGTTGTTAAAAATATATTGTAACATTTTTTTTTATAACATTGTAAAGTTTAAACTATCAAAATATTTAGTCTAACTTAATTTAATTATAAGTTAACCTTAATAAAATATAGACCAGGATAGATGACGATGAATAATACCGATAAAATTCTACGGAACTGACTAATAAGTTAAAATGTTTTATAATAAAGGTTTTCATTCAATTTATTGATCTAATATCCATTACAGTATGATTATAATAAATTGTATCTGATTTTGAGTTAAGTAAGATTAAGATCGTGATTATAACAATGAATATTAACAATTCAATACTTCCTAGTTCTTATTAAATTTCTTTTTTACGAAGTGATTTGCCAGGTTCACAGAATTTTCAGTATTATGCTTTTCAGGATACTGATCTCACGTCGTATTTGGCGACACTATGGTTGATTCATGAATGCGTACGTAACATATTATATAAATACATTTATTGTTTTTTAAAGAAGTACGTACAACATTTATTGGGGAGTATCAAAGAAGATTTTTGGAATGATTCAAGTGATAGAAACTTTTTACAACGTAAACTTCGAGGAGTTATTCTCAATTTGGGATGTTTATATGGTTTACCCAGTTATCAATCAAAAGTATATGAACTATTCAAACGATTTTTGAATGATGAAGTCAAGCCACATCCAGATATTAGATTCACAGTTTATTACTATGGTTAGTGGAATTCTAAATGTATTAGTTTATTAAAATGAATTGGTACTTCAATCATTATTTATTTAGGAATGTCTCTGGGCAATAATAGTGAATGGAATAGATTGTGGGACTTATTCTTAAATGAACAAGAACCTCAGGAAAAAGATAAACTTATGATTGCATTGACAGCCTCAAAAGAAATATCAATATTAAATAGGTAAATTTATCGTAAACTTAATTTTATTCATATGGAATAATATACATTTTATTGTTTTCTAGACTATTGAAATATGCAAAAAATGAGAGCTATATTCGTTCCCAAGATTATTTCATAATCATATCACAGATAAGCCGAAATCCTATTGGAACTCAATTGGTATGGGACTTTTTGAGGTATATAATAATATATTATAATTACATCTTAAAAGAATAGGTATAGGACAATTTTAAATTTAATATATTGTTAACTTATCTTCGTCAGGGATGAATGGCAGTACTTGGTTGATCGTTTTTCTCTGAATAGTCAGCAACTTGGAAATCTCATTCCTTCAGTTTGTTCTCGATTCAATACTAATGAACGTATTGGAGAGGTAAATATTTTTTGTTATAAACCAACTTAAATGTTGGTCGATTACCACATATTGAATGATGTATTTTTATTTAAGTTAACAGCGTAAGTTTCTGTCTTTTAACATTTTTAATATTTACATATATTTGTATTTTTTAGATGAATATATTTTTTGCTAAACATCCAGAAGCTGGAGCTGGAAAAACCGACCGGGAAAATGCGCTAGAAGTTGTATCAAATAACATTAAATGGTTAGAAAATTATGAAGCTGTTATAAGTAATTGGTTGAAATTACTATCTAATTTTGAAAATTGATCGATTTCATTGTGAATATAGATATTTGAAATATCAACATTTTAATTTATAGTGGTTTATATTGTTACCATATTAGTTTACTCCATGTAATAATCATACGCGTTTATAAAATAAATTTCAATTTATCAATAAAAATACAGCAGTAAGAATTGTCATGGAAACAACAAAATATTGGATTATTAGAAAATTCATCAAATAATATTACATACATTTTCGATGTGGCTATTATACCAGATGATTCTGTTATTTTGAACCACTCATTATTTCATTTACAATTAATTTTTTTTCATGATAATTATAGTCATGAAAAAGGTGTGGGATAAGTGGGTACCGCTCATTGTGTGTAGTGTGGGTCGGTGACATGTTTATGTTGAATTTGATTTATTGTACCTATAAAATTGTCAGCCTATAATATTACAATGTATATTTTATGATAATGTTGTAATTATAATAATTTATATTATTATTAGGCAATCTTCCTTCATTAGGTAGATTAAATTAATTTTCCCCGAAAAATAAGTGTTTGAAATCGTCATTGTGTATGAAATATACCAATATATTTAAAAAAAAAATGAAAGTAAGTACTCACGAAAAATATTTTTTAACTACAACAATGTAATAAAATCGGTTTTCTTAGTTTAATAATAACTAACTTTATCCAAATTTGAACTTAAAATATCTATAAAAAAACTGTTTATACCTATATTATTTTCATGTTTTTTAGTAACATCATTAACTACTTATAAGAAATTAATGTTTTAAAATTTTATTCCTTAGCTATAAAATTTGAACATTATATATATTTTTGCCTAGAAAATGTATTGAAGATTTTCGAGTTTTTTATGAATTTTTTTGATAAATGAATGGCAACTTGGAAGACTCATTCCTTCAGTTTGTTCTTGTTTCAATACGCATGAACGTATCAGAGAAGTAAATATTAATTTTAAATCAATTTAAATTTTGATTGATAACAACTTCTCGAATGTTGTATTTGTATTTAAACTATCAGTAGATTTCTGTTTTTTTTTAACATGCTTAATATTTATATACATTTGTATTTTTATAGATGAAAATATTTTTTGATGAATATCCAGAACCTGGAGTTGGAAAATCAGGCCGAAAAATTGCACTAAAAGTTGTATTTAATAACATTAAATGGTTAGAAAATCATGAATCCGTTATTCGTAATTGGTTGTTAAATTCCATTCAGTTAATATGGATTTGTACTGTCAATATTTTATTTTACAGGGTCGTATTAATTATTATTACAATTATAAAATATATTGTTCCTATTTGTTAGTTCCATGTAGGCAATTATACGTGTTTATAAAATTAATTTACGATTTATTAATAAAATATAGTGAAATTTCCATATTACGAATAGTGTTATGGCAACAACAAAATATTTGATTATAGAGAAATTAGTTAAATAGAATTACATTCATTTTTCACTGTGCATATAGACACTTTTATACCTTGTTATTATTTTATTTGGGCATCACCCATTACTGCACAAATGTAAATAGGTATAGGAAAAAACCGTTCTGTAGCCCAGTAATTTATGGTACTCAGATCCAGCAAGCTCACATTTTTTGTTATGATGTTCGTTAATTCTTGATTTACCTTCTGAAAACGGAACATTTTAGTGTCCCGTAAATAAAACACGGTAGTAATATAATATCAATAACTTACAGTTAAAGCTGATCAGTTTTAATAAAATATAATTGTTGGGATTTGAAATGTATATTAAGCTACCCTACATTTATTACATTTAAATATTTAATAAACCCTATTTATTAGTACCAAGTTATTAGTTATTACCTATATATAAACTTACCTAAATGAGTTGAGATTTTGTATTATAAGTACCTATCATAATATATTATTTGTAATAAGTTACTTATTACTAATAACAAAATATCTCGCAGATTTTGTTATGGCCCATGGTTAGATAGAGCTTTGTTAATTTACTAATAATCTTATGTGTTAATCAGTGAAGACTGACTAGGTATTATTATTGGTTTGGTCATACCTAACCTAACCTATGTATAATTATGTCGTTACCATATTGATAATTGGCCATACTTATCACTTATACAATCTAATACCTTATGCTTCGCGTCGACACAATAATATTTTATCACCTTATTTTATATTTCCTTGCCTTCTTTAGTCTCTACATAATATTATTGTGACAAAATTCAATAGGTACACTGTAAATCAAATTTAAATAAAAATGTATCAATTTTACTGTAAATTTGGTAAATTCACCGGCAAAATTACCCAGTAAATTACCAAAAATTTCTTTTACGTAAAATCCACATCACTTATTTTATTTAGGTCGTTAATTTATTTAATATTATATTAATAATAAAAATAATGTTAACACGGCGTATTGATTAGGCAATTCAGGTACATAATCTCCAAAAACACACATCATTGTAAAATTAGTACATTAATCGCTTCTGTCAGCATCTAACATATTATTATAATAAGGTTTTAGCTATTAGTAATTAATACTAATTATTGCTGCCACCAGCTAAGTGGAAACTATAACTCTCATAATCGACATTCATCCAAGATGATTACGAAAGAATAAGGGTCGTAACTATGCGCACGGCAAATAATACTGAAATGCGTCGGCCGGTCCTCAAGCTCTTTCAATTGCATTTGTATAAAAAAAAGTCTGTAGAAAATAATATTATTTTTCAACGGAGGGTAAATGTTTAGGCCCGACGCAAAATGCGTTATAAATTATAATTTAAATAATTATTGTTCCATCTATTTAGGCCCAACAACGACTGCTCCGCTCACCACCCGCCCACAACTACACCCGCCAATCATGTCAATAAGATGTGGGTCAGTGGGCTATATCTATTGCCTGCCTCTCACGCACACACAACACATACATGATAGGAATAGCTGACCTCAATACCTCATACCCATAATCACCGTTATTAATTATTGTTTTATTTTTATATATTGTATTGAATGTGTCTTGTGAGTTACACTATAATATTATTTAGATAACATACGTTATCGCACACCACCTTGCCTGTGCGAATGTATAATAACACGTATTTTGTCCGGTACCGTACGTCGTAACGTGAGCATCGCAGTGTGAAAAAAAATATCATGAATTGAATTGTATAATTAGTAAAAAAATGTGTAGTTTTTTTCATTAATAAGTGCGCAAATCATCTAATATTGTATTTTGTTATTGTTATAGGATAACACCAGCTGGCCAGTATACGCTCCACAAATTGTGAGATTTTTATTGTTAATTATTTGATATATTTTTGAGTCATTGAGGCCGCATTTTATTTTTATACGAGCACTAGCTGATCCCGTGTACTTTGTTGCCCGTTAAATGCATCAACTCTATATGACTCAAACTTTGTTCAGTTTATTTAATATTCGGTGTATGGTGTTCAAAATTTATCTTAACTTTTCTGTTGCCCGGAATAAAAATTCTGCTTCGCAGCAGTACGTTATCAGATAGGCAATCTACCTGCGGTAGATCGCGGACCCCGTGCTGTTTGTACGTAAGTGTATGATTTAACTCTTAAGTATTAAAGTTATACCAAGTTTGTCATTTTTAATTAATTCCACTTACAATGGATTAATATAATCAATTAATACAAAATATCCTAATCTAACCGTACTAAAATCTGACGAATAAAATAAAACCAAATTTAACCCTTTTAAATTAGCCTATCTTCATCCCAGAGGTCTAATCTACCCACAAACATTCATTTTTGTATATATTAATAAAAGTAAATAATACAAATCAACAAACATGCCCGATTAACCAATAGCAACCAATATATTATAAACTATTATTATTTTAATCTGCAACAATAAACTAAATTTTTATTTTATTATTTAGTAAATTTTTTTCTGGACAGAGGCGCCACTGTAGTATTTTTGACATCCATATTTTCTACTTTTCCGGTTGATTTCCTTAAAATTTTCTTTCATATAAACCTTTTCCGTGAAATACTCTATCGTTAGAAAAAAACATCAAGAAGATCTGATAAGTAGTTTTGGAGTTTATCCCAAACAAAAAAAAGCGACTTAATTTCATATAGTAGTAGAGCTCAAATTACTGTAGGTACTTATATATTTTTATTCTGTTGAGCCTGAAGGGCTGTTTCATTTACTATCATTACTATTCTATTAAATATTACTTCGAATTTCTCTGTATTGTGACCCTGTATTATTTAAATTCGTTCCATTATACCTCAACTTATAATACCAGAAACCGTGTTACCATTTTATTCAAAGTTTATAAGTTCACACACTTACCCATAACACACATTTTGCACGACACTCATCACGGAGTTCGACAGTATTTGCCCGGTGATCCTGACAACTGCTGTTCGAACCAGTGTTTGGAATGATCATCGTTTCATCGTTTCATATTATATAGTGAACGAAGTTTTCGTTTTTTGCAAATAAAACGTGAACTTGAACGACGTTTATATTTTTAATGAATTTGATCGATTTTTAAGACGTTCAATTTATTTACCATTTAATAAATATTATATGTATAAAATATATTAATTAATTATATTTTAATAATAATATTTTCATTTTTCCCACTATAATTCCTATAATATATGTAATAAACCTAATCGGTTTATCATAATAGGTACCCTAGTAGTAGCTTAATTTTATCACTACGAAATCCTTATCAAAATGTAACTCAAATAACGTGTCAGGTATTAAAAATTAATTCAGATAGGTACTTTATAAATTGTATCTGCTCTAAAGTCTAAATTGTATTTTTATATTGGTTGAGTCGTATAATATGTTTATGGGTTTTTAATTTTTTTATTGACTGCAGGCTAACAATTCATAAAAAAAAAAAAAATTAAATGAACGACCCAATGAACGTGTTCGTTTTTTAAAAGAACGTGAACGCGTTCATTTAAAATAAGCATGAACGTGAACGTGAACGAGTTACTTTTTTAAGTACTGAACGTGAACGAGTTCATTTTTTTAGTGAACCTTCCGAACACTGGTTTGAACAATTACACCACTAAACGTCCAGAATTTCTGTCGTTATAATATTAGTTTGCAGGTGTTAGTGGTGTTTTTTAGGCGTTTTGTGTCCGGGCCCGCATACTATGTCTTTTGCTTCCAGCCCGTTCAATGGCCATAGATACCTAAGTAAATACTCAATAGGTTCAAATCAAAGCCACCCGCAGACATTTTTCTAGGGTGGGGGGGGGCAGCGAAAAAATAATACACTTACATTAAATTCTGTTTTTTTATCACATCTTAAAAAAATTTACAATTTTGTGGCACCTTATCAGTTATCAGTCCTTTCTATCGCCCTCCAAGACTGCTATATAAAATGCAAATAAATGCAATAATATTAGTTATTAAACTTAGTTTAGGAACTGTTCAATACTCATCATTTATGTACGCACACGACCCATACGTAATATAAAAGTAACATATTACGACCGATGGGGGAACGTCCTTCGGTCATTAGTGAGCAGACAATTTTTATGTACATCATTACGATAACCTTGAACTTGCCCTTGATCTTTGGATAAGATTAAATATAAAAATGTATAGGAAACTAGTTTTACTTACTTGAACTACTTTACTTAGTAAGTTCAATTATAGTGCCTAACTCATTACTCACTTACATACGTTTTTTCTAAGTTAATCATCTAAATTCATCTAAAAATCATATTATTGTTTTGATTTTATCTTAAGAGGTCTGCATTTGTTGTTTCCGTCTCAGTGGAGTACACAGCTATTTCCAATGGGGGTGGGTTGGGGGCTTAATTAAAAATGATAACCAAGTATTATATATACATTAATAAAATATTATATTGTTTAACAAAGTTTTATTTTTATCATAAAACGCAGGCTTGGGAATTCTCTTTTACTCTTATTCGTCAAAAAATATTCATTTACTCTTTTCGTTTTTATTATTTTAGAAAATTTAACAGGAAGTACTAAGTAAAATAATTATTCTAAATATTATTCTAAATTATTCTAATTAATAATTATTCTTTGTTCTTTGAACAAAGTTCCTAATAATTTCACAAATTAGTAATTTGTAATCAGTTATCATTAATAAACCTATATACAATAAATTATGTTGTTTATAAATATTGATTTTTTTTTTTTAATAATAATAATTTACTTGATGTTAAAAACGGTAATAAAAATACATTAATAAATTAAAATATTAAATTCTCTTAAATATAAATATATTATGTATACCTACATATAAGATATACTGTTTTCGATTAAGTCTATAAAATGTTTAAGCCTGTGCTTAGAGAGAAAGTTATTAAATAAGGGAAATAGAAAGATATTAAATAAAGTATTTAAAGAAATTAATAAACTTATATGATGGAAATTAAAGACCAAAATGGCAAAATATGAAAAAAAAAAAAAAATTTACATTATGAGTAGAGTTGTTGTCCGAAATATTATATACTTACCACACAATGGTGATTTAAAAAGTACGTTATTTAACCAATATTTTAATTTTTGTTTTATAAATATTTTGTTTTTAGTATAATATAATAAACATATATTTATAACACTTATTAACAGATATAATTTAAACTTAAAAATAGTCATAAACCAACACACCACCAATATGTGGCAAACATCCTGGGACGAAATACCAATTTCAAACAAATTAAAATTAATTAAAAAGAAAATTACCAAATGGCATACCCAGCCCAACATATCTAAACATCCTAAAACCATTAACACGTGAACGAAAATCGGTCATACCAACCTCACCCACATACACTTAATAAAACATGAAGAACAACCTCTCTGTAGCCAATGCAATGAACCTCTCTCAATCAAACACATCGTTGTAGATTGCCCGCTATATGTCAACGCAAAAAACATAATCCTCAACCAACCTTCATCGATGGAGGAAGCACTAGGAGAACACAATACCCACTTGATTTATAGCTTCTTCAAATATATCGGCATAGACACCAAAAACTATATTTAAATTGTACATTAACAATGTAAAATCTACCACAGGCTAATGACCTTGATGTTGAAGCCTTATTCTTAATAAAAAAAATTAAAACTTAAGCAATGACTTTAGCTAATCTTACGATTTAATATTTTATGAACTTTAAAATACATGTTTACAGGTATGTTCACTGTTGACTTCGTATGTCATATAATATTATATTCGTCATCTTAACGAACAAAAATATAGCTAATCTTATCGTACCCATAAAATATGAGGCAGGGAATCAAATGGGTGTTTGTACTTATTTTGGCGGCTGTCACAACCGTTACAATCATAAAAATTATGATCAATCGTACAAAGGAATTGGAAAGAATTCAAGAAGATGAAAAACTTACAGAAATTCCATCAGCAGGTCTTTTAATGCTTAATTCGGTGAGTGTGACAAACAAACGGTGATTATAATACGTGATATTAAGGAATGGTAATTATTATCAACATTAATTAATTAAGAACGCTAAGAAATAATAAGAGTTATTATAATACTTTGTACTATTTGTATCTCACGAAGTTGCTTTAACTGTACCAAAGATTGTTTTTTTAAATTCTGAGCGGAGGGAGGAAACTAGTGGTTTTTACAGTGGTATTTATTTTATTTATTTTTGTATTTTTTAGAAAAAGTGACTTCCTCAATAATATGGTAGTTAGGTGAACTCCATCTCTTGCAAAGTCTGTTTTCTGTTTTATTTTTCAATTATAATTTTAATTTGTAATACATTTTAAACTTATTAAGTGCTCTAGAGTTTAGAATTTTATATTTTTATGTAGGTACATTAATTACTGTAGTAGATATGTGCTCTGTAAGAAATTAATAAATCATGGTACTTTTTATTTTCACTTTATGAATTTTAAACTCATTGCAGTAAGTTTCAAATGGTAACATATATTTGTAAATAAATACCCACAACAATTATTCATTTTCATTGTTTATAGGTAATAAATATTATATTTTATACTTGAGCTTCTATATAAACTGTGAAAACAACACCTAAAATTGGTTAATAATCGAATATTTTTTTTAAGGAATATAACAAAACTGTAAAACTATTTTTTGTCTTAAAGCATTTGGTAATTTATTTTTTAGAGTATAATGAAACTTAAACCTTGGAAATCTACACTCCGCTTATCACGGTACGTTCGCCCGCTGCAATACTCCATTAATCTGTATCCAAACATTAAACAAGGATCATTTGTTGGTTCAGTTAATATAACAATTATATTGGACACTGCTCAAAGTTATATTAAACTACATTCAAAAGGATTGAGAATCAAAGAAACTAAACTCAATTCCAGTTCTGTAACAGCTTTTTCATATCCACAACATGAATTTTGGGTTGTTTTACCTAATGAAGAACTAAGTGCTGGGGAATACCAATTACAAATATCATTTGAAGGTGGTTTATTGAGAAAAATAATTGGATTGTATCGAAGCGTTTATGAGGATTCAACAAGCCATGAAAAACATTTTTTGGCCACTTCACTCTTCCAACCAACTTATGCGCGGTTAGCGTTTCCATGTTTTGATGAGCCTCAACTGAAATCAAAATTTAAAATTAGTTTGATCCGACCATCTGGTAATAACTACATAGCATTATCCAACATGAACCAAGAGGTGAATATAAAAATTTCTTTCGATTCAAATTTTACAATACTAAATAATAAATTTTGTTTTAGTCTGAAGAGCTCAATGTGCCTACAAATGGATTGACTACAGTCCATTTTGCTAATACTGTCCCAATGTCTACGTATCTTGCTTGTTTTATTGTATGCGATTTTAAATCACTTGAACCAGTAAAAGCAGATCAAGGATTCCCGTTAACAGTTTATGCCCCAAGTGGTCAAATTGAAAATATGAAATATGCTCAACATGTGGGTCTCAAGACAATTAATTATTACGTCAATTATTTTGGCATTCAATACCCGTTACCAAAATTGGGTACGTTATTTAATTCATTTTACATTTCTAAAATAGTGACAATAATTTACTAGTATAAAAGTATTTATTGAAGTGTATCAAAAAAGCACAGCCCGTTTCATCATAGTAAAATAATAATTTAATACTTTAATGAATTGTTTAGATCTGATAACAATACCAGATGATTTTCTTTCTGGAGCAATGGAAAATTGGGGTCTTGTGACATTTCGTGAAACAAAGGTTTTATATAATGAAAGTAATAGTTCTATTGATGACCAAGAGACAATCGCGTTTATTGTTGCTCATGAATTGGCTCATATGTGGTTTGGAAATCTCGGTATATAAATATTAACATTTAAAATTTAAAATTAAAAAGTAAATAACTTCAAATTCAAAATTAGTATACCTATTAGTAAACCTCTTTGTGAAGTACCTATGTTATGTATTTAGTTGAATAATATACAACTAAAATAAATAATTATATACCCTATTGAATTTGTTCAGTTACTATGAAATGGTGGAACGACTTATGGCTTAATGAAGGGTTTGCCACTTACATGAAATTTAAAGCTTCGCAAGTTGTCCACCCAGATTGGGATGTTGTATGTATCTGTTATATTGGCTTTTTGTAACCAATGATTATTATTTGTTATTTTAAATTGTTTTTTAGGACACATCATTTCTAATTCATAGTCTCCAACCTGTACAATATCTAGATAGTAAACTTAGTTCTCATGCTATAGTACAAGATGTTTCTGATCCCCAACAAATATCCTCAATGTTTGATCTCATATCTTACTCTAAAGTAAGTTTATTTAGTCCATATATATTATATTTGTCTATATTATTTATTTAATTTCGTAGGGTTCTTCTGTAATACGAATGTTAGAAGGATTGTTGGGTGAAGACATATTCAGGATTGGTGTGAGCGCATATTTAAAACGTTTTCTATTTAACAATGCTGAAACTGATGATTTATGGACTGAATTACAAATGACGTCTCAAAATACAGTCAATGTTAAAAAGGTAAATACTTACTCATTAGTATACATATTATATTACCTATTTAACATAATATGAATATTCTTATTTAAATAAAATAGCTTATGGATACATGGACACGTCAAGCGGGGTTCCCAGTAGTATCAGCTATACGGAATGGAACTAAACTTACTTTGAAGCAACAAAGATTTTTGTCTGACCAAAATACTAATTCGTCAAATGACCCATCTCCATATAATTACAAATGGGAAATACCAATAACATATACCACTTCAAACAATAATACCGTACGTAAGTTTTGGTTAACCAAAGACGTGGATTCAAGTAAGTATTATGGACTGTTGAATATTTCAATTGATATTAATTAAAATATTTATTTAAGTTACGATTGACATACCTGATGCTGAATGGATAAAACTAAATCACAGACAAGTTGGATATTACATTATAAACTATTCTGAGAGTGATTGGTGTTTACTTAATAATTTATTAGAAAAAAATGTTGATGTAAGTTTTTGGTTAATATTTTTCAATCATATTATTAATTTATAAATGTACAATTTTAAGGCATTAAGTGCGGCTGACCGTTCAAATCTTATACATGATGCCTTTATTTTGGCAAATTCTAATTACTTACCATTTCGCATTGCGTTAAACATGACAAAATATTTATCTTTGGAACATCATTATGTTCCTTGGGATGTAGCTGCTACTAACTTAAAGAGATTAAGTGAACATTTATATCAACGTCCGACACATAAGCACCTTGAAGTAAGATTATTGAAAAACTAATAATTATCATGGTAGTACCAAAAGTTATTTACACAGAGTTTTTATCTACTCATAATTCATGAAATCACTAGGTCCTGGTTGAATAGGTAATTCGTGGGATCAGTAATTCGGCTAACTCATCGAAGTTTTGATACAGAGAAGTTATTGGTCTAAGCTTATTACTGATAACTTTAAGTAGGTTGACATTTTATTGTCATATTAATTATTTTATAAGCACATTATGAAATATTGGCATAACGTTACAGTTTTATAAATAATAGTGGATTTATAATAATATACTAGCTGATCCCGTGTACTTCGTTACCCGTCAAATGTACCAAATCAATATAACTCAAACTTTGTTCAATTCGTTATTTAATAATCAGTGTATGGTCTTCAAAATTTATATTAATTTATAGATAGATTTAAAATTATTAAGTATAAAAAACACAGTAAAGACATTTTTATACCATAATCAATATTTTTATAAATTTAAATTAATAAAATTAAAAAATATTTATTTCTAAATTGTTCGTCCTACTATGTTTTTAAATGTTATCAATATTCCATTAATTTTTTTTTGCAGGTCTAAAAATCTATTGAAAATATATATAACAAACACAAAAATTCTCTCATTAAGTTCAAATATTTACAAAAAAACATCAAAAATACTAACTTTTCCAATTTTTCTTTTGGTTACAATTACATAGAAAAACTAAGTATTATGTTGATAACTATTTTCTTTACTCAATGAAATTATCTAAATATTTTGTCTTATTTAAGCTAATTAAATTTTATATATTAATGATATCTAGACTATTAACGACGATAATAATGTCGATAATATTCCACGGTACATAATGAGTTATAAGTTAGATATTATGATATAATAATAATAAGCAATATTTTGTTCTTCAGAATACTGAACTCATTACCTACGTATTTGGCGACACTATGGTTGATTCATAAATTCGTAAGTAATATATATAAATATATTTCTTGTTTTTTAAAGAAATACGTACAACAATTATTGGGGAGTATAGAAGAAGATTTCTGGAATGATTCAAGTGATAGAAACTTATTACAACGTAAATTTCGAGGAGTTATTTTCAAATTAGGATGTTCATATGGTTTACCAAGCTTTCAAAAAAAAGCATACGAATTATTTAGAAGATTTCTGAATGATAAAATCAAACCACATCCAGATATTAGATTCACTGTTTATTACTATGGTTAGTGGAAATATAAATGTATTTATTTATTAAAATAAATTGCTAATTACTGAAATCATTATTTAGTTATATTATTAATTCGGTTTTGTTCATTTAGGAATGTCTCAGGGCAATGATAGTGAATGGAATAAATTATGGGACTTATTCATAAATGAAAAAGAACTTCAGGAAAAAAATAATCTTATGGATGCATTGACTGCCTCAAAAGAAACATCAATATTAACTAGGTAGATTTTAAACTCAATTTTATTCATATGGAATAAAATATATTTTAGTGTTTTCTAGACTATTGCATCATGCAAAAAATGAGAGCCATGTTCGTTCCCGAGATTATTTAAGAATTATATTACTGATAAACCGTCAACCTTTTGGAACTCAATTCGTATGGGACTTTTTGAGGTAGGTATCTATACATATATATAAATTATAATTTTAATTTAAAACAGTAGGTACAGGACTATTTAAATTGTCATCTATGTAAACTTATGTTATGTTAGGGAGAATTGGCAGTACTTCGTTGGTCGTTTTTCTCTTTTTGATTGGCAATTTGGAAATCTCATACCTTCAGTTTGTTCTCATTTCAATACACAAGAACATATTAGAGAAGTAAATATTATTTATTCTAAACTAACGTAAACGTTGGTTGATAATAACATCTCAAATGTTGTATTTTTATTTAAACTATCAGTATGTTTCTGTTTTTTTTTTAACATGTTTAAATTTATATACATTTGAATTTTTTAGATGAACATATTTTTTGATGAACATCCAGAAGCTGTACCTAGAAAGAAAGGACGAAAGTCTGTACTAGAAGTTGTATCTAACAATATTAAATGGTTAGAAAAACACGAAGCTGTTATTAGTAATTGGTTGATAAATACAATCTAATTTTAAAAATGTCATCTTTTTAATTTTCAATATTTTAAATACCAACAATTTTATTTATAGGCCGAATTATTTAATATTACAATGTTAATCTTTATATTGTTACCTACTATTTATTTATCAGGTGTATTAATTTTACGTGTTCATAAAAATTTCCGTCTTACGAAGTGGTCACGGTAACATCGAAAACTTGGATTTAAGAGCCATTTGTTAAATTTAGTTACATAATTTTAGATTCTGAGTGGAACGATGAATGTATTGATTTTACAATGATGTGCGTTTTTATTTTTTTATTTTTTTTTTGTGTCTGTGTACACATAAGTAGTCGAAATAATGTTTCTTCTTTAGAAAGTTCTAACTTAACTAGTTAGTTTTAATTCATATTAACTTTGTAACTTAACTAGTTGAATTTAATGTGTAAAATAGTCTAATCTAACTCATTAGAAAAAAACTAACTAGTCAATATTATAATTTTTTTTTTTTTATTCCAACATTCCAAAAGCTATTCCTCAATCATGACATTATGGCTATATGCCTATATAGATTATTGGTTCATAGTCATATATATTATTAATTATTAGTATTTATAATAATGCACTCACAGGAACCACGGATTTTCCGCGTAGTCTGTAGAATGTTGATATCTACTAGATATAAATAGTATCTTTTCCGGAGGCTTAACTAAGTTACTATAGTGTAGACTCGATGCCCAATTTTCGTGGTGTGTTATCGGTGGTAATTGTATATACGTATAATACAATTATTCCCTATAGCGCTCACATGGAGAGACTTTTTAGTGCAGGGGCCAATTATTCGAATATATTGTACTAGAATATAGACATATTATAGTCATATAGATTATATTATGTATTATTATTTAATATTAATATTTTAAGTTGTCATACTGTTATATATTTTTTTATTTTGTTTCACCCTTTATGTTCTAATAACTGATAAGTTATGTACCAATTAATTGAAATCATTACTTACCTAATCAGAACATTTTTATCTAATTACTAGGTGTTTAATTCAATTTTTCAGTTTTAATCAATAATTTAAGTTAGATAACTTATCATTTACATTTTAACAAAAGGTTTTTTAATCTATAAAAAAAACTTCTACTCTGACTTAAGTTACTATTTTCACCAAACTAACTTCTAACTAACTAAGTAAGAAATTTGAACAGTTTCAGAAACTAACTTATATTCTAACTTAGTTAGTTTTTTTATTAAAGCAACTTAACTTCAACTAGTTGAAAAAAGTGACTAATTTTCCTAGCTTTGCCCGCTAACCATGCCTATAATAAGATGTGGTTCAGTTGGCTATATATACCTGTTGCCGACCTATCACGCACACACATCACATATTATATGATAGGAATAGCTGACCTCACACTCATAATCACAGTTATTATTTATTGTTTTATTTTTTAATATTTTATCGAATGTGTCTTGTGAGTACACAGTGTTATTTTGATAACATACGTTATCTCACGCCGCCTCACCTGCTGTGCGAATGTATATTAACAAGGCCGCTGTAATTTGTCCGGTACTGTACGTCGTCGAGCGAGCATCGGCGTGCGCAAAAAATATCATATAAAGTAGCATAATTATTAGTCAAATAGTAAAAAAAAGGTGTCGTTTTTTTCACTAATAGTTGCCCAAATCACCTGATATTGTATTTTGCTATTATTATTATTTTCAAATTATCATAGGATAACACCAACTGTCCAGTCTGCGCTGCACAAATTGTGAGATTTTTGTTGTTATTTATTTGATAAATTGTTGAGTCGGAAGGACCGCATATTATATTTATATTACACATTTTTCGTAAGAGCTTACAGTTCAAATTACTGAGTTTATATATTTTTATTCTTTTGGGGCAGAAGCTGGCACTGCTGTTCGAATTACTGCAATACTACACCACTATGATAACCTACATCCAGCTATTTTGTCGTTATAATGTTAGCTATGTTTTAGGCGTTAGTGGTGTTCCTTAGGCATTTAGTGTCCGGGCCCGAGTACAAAAGTATAATGCTCCCGGTCCATTAGCCCTAGATACAATGCCTTAGTAAATACTCAATAATAGTTAGGTTATTATTTATACGTATAAGTATTTACTTATTAATTATTAAGTTTAGTATAAATAATGTTGCATATTCAGCATTTATTATGCGCGCTACACGGCAAATACGTGATATCGTTGATTATGAATACTAGTATTAAAATAGTAATAATCATATATTTGTATAATAGTATTCATATTCAACGGTAATATATAAGTACCTATCATATTATTACCATATGACGACCGGTGGGGGACAGTCCATTGGTCATCAGTGAACAAGCTATTATAATATGTATTACTTGAACATCTTTACTTAGTAAGTTAAATTATAGTGTCTCACTCATTACTCACAAGCTACGGTGATTTTTTCGATATTTTAATTTTCAAGGAAGATATATGGGTATGTGAAATATTAAAAATTAAATATGAAATTGAATTAAAATATGGAAAAAATCCGACGCTTAAGCACAGATTATGTTGTTAAATAAAAGTTGGATTCAAGGTAAATTTACTCTGCAGTGCTAATAACACAACAATATACTTGTATGACAAACAGAAATTGACTACTTACCTAATTATTGAATATTCTTAAATATATAGGTATACATGTAAATTATTATACTGTTTTAATTGTTTCCAATTCACTTTGTAAAAAGCCTAAGGTTTTGCTATGGAGAAAAAGTTCAAAAACGATTTTGAGAAAAAATTCGATTATAAATTAAGTGTTTAAAGTAACTAATACAATTTATAGAATGGCAATGAAAGAGCAGAATAGGGGGAAAAAACAATTTACAATATATGTAGAGTTATTGTTCGAAATAATATATCTTTACCACACAACATTGGTGATTTACAAAGTATAATATTTAACTATTAATATTTTAATTTATTGCATTTACAAATATTTTATTTTTCTCAAAAATAATAAACTAAAGAATATCTATGGTCTTCAATCTCGATCTGGTTGGAATGGTTACATGATTAGACTATGGTTTGTGTGTAAAAATACAAATTTGAAAGTAAATTGAACAAACATCGTAAGTAGGTACTTAGGACCTATTTACCTATAATACTGCAGTGCTAATAAAACTAACAATAAACTTACATAATGTAAACAAAATTGACAAATTATTGATTTAGCATATAGATGTATAGATTATAAATCATAGATGTATACAATACCAAAAAAGTAAAAAGTGTTGTTTGGTATATTGTATATCCATATATTATATATATTATAATTATAAACAAACATAAATATGTCACCGTACAGAAATTTAAATTGTAAGCCAGATAATTAATCTAGTAATATTACCTATTATATATAATCAACATATTTGTATAACACTAAACACTTATTAGCAGATATAATTAAAAAGTAAACAATTTTGTATGGTTTAAGAATTTATGGACTTTGAAATGCATGTTCACAGGTATGTTCATTACTCACGTCATATATTATATCATATTCCAATATTCGTCATCTGGACGATCAATAACATACCAAAATATTTTATCGTATTAAATATGACGCCGGTAATAAAATGGGTGTTTGTACTAATATTTGCGGCCGTCACAGCAGTAACACTTTTAACAGTTCTTAACAATCATATGAAGGAATCGGAATGGATTCCAGAAGACGAAATACTTACAGAAATTACATCAGCAAGTCTTTTATTGCAAAATTCGGTGAGTATTAGGAGAAATATATGAAAAAACTAATTATAAACTGTGGAGATGTGAAAACAAATAGTGATTATTATACGTGATACTAAGGAAGTAGTAATTAATATCAACATTTGTTAATTTTATTAAGATCGCCAAAAAGGCTCCGCTCAGAATCTAAAAATATCAAAATTATATTGTAACAATATTTTTTACAAGCATAATAAGTTGCAATTTCGTGTGAAATTACAGTTACCCACTCAATGAAGAGGTAGTAAGGTACACTCCATATCTTGCATACATTAGGCAAAGTGTGTTTCCTGACTTAAAACTTAATTTATGGTTATAGGTTTTAATACATTTTAAACTTTTAAGTTCTCCAGAACTCAGAGTTTTATGTAGATAACTTTAATTACTGTAGTTAGTGTACTGTAGGAAATTAATAAATAAATATAGTAGATACTTAAAAAAATACCAGAGATTTATTGAAAAATTTTCTATTCATGATAGGCAAACCCCTCGCAGTAAGTTTGAATTGGTAACATAATATATTTATAAATAAATACTTAAATAGAATTATAAACTTTTTAATTGTTCTAAGATAGATAATATTATATTTTATACTTGAGCTTCTATAAGCTGTGCAAGTAGAAATAAAATTGAGATTTACCAAGTTACTTCAATAATTATAATAATAAAAGAGTAAAACTATTTTTTGTCTCAAAGCATTTAGTAATTTATTGTTTAGAGTATAATGACACTTAAACCGTGGAGATCTTCACTTCGCTTATCCCCGTACGTTCGCCCTCAGCAATACTTCATTAATCTGTATCCAAATCTTGAAGAAGGTTCATTTATTGGTTCAGTTAATATAACAATTATATTGGACACTGCTCAAAGTTACATTAAGCTACATTCAAAAGGATTGGATATCACAAAAACTAAACTCAATTCCAGTTCTGTATCTGCGTTTCAATATCTAGAACATGCATTTTGGGTTGTGGTACCTGATGAAAAACTAAGTGCTGGAGAATACAAATTAGAAATATCATTTAAAGGTAATTTAGAGGACAACGTAATAGGATTTTATCAAAGCGTTTATGAAGATTCAACAAGTCATGAACGACATTATATTGCCACTTCATTTTTTGAACCAACTTATGCGCGATTAGCGTTTCCATGTTTTGATGAGCCTCAACTGAAATCAAAATTTAAAATTAGTTTAATCCGACCATCCAGCAATAACTACATAGCATTATCCAATATGAACC